CGGGCGGCGGCGGGGCTCCATCCCCATCCAGCGCAGCCCGGACGCGCTGGCCGTGGACGCGGCGGGCGCCGTCACCGGGGGCGGCACTCTGCCGCGCGTCAACAGGCTCAGCCCGAACCGCTACGCCGGGGTGGGGTCGCCCGGGCGGCGCGTCGCCAAGCGGAAGGTAAGCGCTCGCAGTAAGGTTCAATCACCTCATGATCTTTGGCCGTGCGGAAACGCTCACGTGCATCGCGCTTGTGCCGCAGAGCCCCGGCGCCGCGAGCCCGGAGTGCGCTGGCGGTCTCAAGGCGCTGTCGGCGGAGTCCCTGCGCTCCGTGAGCCCCGGCAGCGACTCGGTGTTCTACAGCGAGGGGGTGTGCCACCACTGCGGGCGGGAGGTCGCCGAGGGCGGCGCGGAGGTGGGTTCTTGACTTGAACTAACTCCCCGATTGGAAGAAAATTTACCAGCAACGGATTTCAAAACTTCTTTCATTCTTAATGCCAAACGGGAAATAGAACGCGAATTAAAAAGATAGCGAATTTTGCTCTTGAAGGACAATTTTAACCCTCAGGAGGAGCATGACGGGGAGGCGGAGGGGCCCCCCATCCAGCCGCCCGCGGACTTCGCCGACTCTCCCAACGGCCACGGCGCGAGCGGGGGCGGCGGCGGCGCAGGCGGCGGCGGCGGCCGGTCCGCGAGGGGCGGCAGCCGCGGGGTGCCGGGCAGGCTCTACAAGAAGGCGGACCAGCGCTTCCGCTCCGAGGAGCGCGCTCTGGACAGGCGGGCGCACCGGCTGCACGGCGAGGGGGCGCGCGCGCGCAGCGAGGAGCGGCTGCAGGGGGAGCGGGAGCGACGCACAAGGTGAGGACAGAGACTTTTACAACATTTAGTTTTAAAACTCCAATTCACCTGTCACATCTGCGAACCTGTTTGTCGCAGGTTCAGGCAGCACGCCCGCTCCACGGACGCCAGCATGGACGACCTGGAGCAGCGCGCCTCCGGCTCCTCGACCAGCGTGGCCATGCGCAGCCCGGACGGCGGCGAGGGCTCCGGGTCCGAGCCGGACGACGAGGACGGCCACGTGTACGCCGACTCGTTCCGCACGCACCACTGGATCTTCATCGGCGACTCGGAGGAGGCCAGGGTGTGGCAGCCGCCCGACGAGCGCGACCGCGGCGAACACCACGGCCAGGGCGACGCCGGGGCCGCGGGGGCGGGCGAGGCGGGCGCGGGCGGCCGGCGCGGCTCCACCGAGTCCACCAACTCGGAGCGCGACTTCCGGAACCGCTTCACCTACATCACGCACCGGATGGTTCACCGCAAGGTGGCGGGCGAGATGTACCGGCGCCGCCTCGCCTCGGAACCCATCGAGTGCGACAAGACGGTCAACGTGCGGCGCGGCTCGGGCGAGTTTGGCCTGCGCGTCCACGGCGCCCGGCCCGTGGTCGTCGCCTCCGTGGAGCCCGAGTCACCCGCGCTCAGCTCGGGGCTGGAGGTTGGCGACATCCTCATCAGCGTCAACGGCGTCAACGTGCTGGAGGCCCCGCACTCGGAGGTCATCCGCATCGCGCACGCAGGTACGGCCCTCCCGGCGCTACCCGGCGTAGCTGTAGACCGCAAGGCAAGCAATACTCCGCGCCGCTGGAGAGCCGCGTGCTCGCCTGCGAGGGGGACCAGGGATATCTCCTTTCTCTGGTCCTTCCCCAGGGCCAAGGGATCGTCCAGAAAGTGCGTCCGTTTCTCTCAAAATCATCCTGCAAACTACAGAAGCTCGGCGCCTGCAAACCTCGGGGTAGGCCACCCCGCAATACACGCATGCACGGCATGCAAGATTGTGCCTACCCATCAGGCGCCATGAGAGCTTGCATTGCCCTGAATTGGAGGGTTCGTAACGGTGAATGACGGACGTACTTTCTGGATGGTGCCCAAGGGTGCCCCGAGGCAGCTTTGCGGCTTTTCTTCAGCGGAGAACGAAAATAAAATCGGAATTCTTGTCACTTTGATATTTTCTGATCGGGTTATTTTTGTCTCGAAGCCAGTGCTCGTGTCAATTCGTCTCTAACCACCTGGTGAGATGAGTGAGCCTGACCAGAACTCTGACTTTGGCAGGTTCGGAGCAGCTGCAGCTGGAGGTGGCGCGCACCTGCCACGTGCTCACGCCGACGGTGCGTGAGCCTGGGGCGCGCTCGCCGCTCTTCTCCGGCCACCTGTGGCGGCTCGGCTCCGGGGACACGCGCTGGCTGCGGCGGTGGGTCTGTCTTCGCAAGGACAACTCGCTGTACTACTACAAGACTGACGCGGTAGGTCCTACAGGGTGCATCTCCCGGAGTAGACGTCTCAACAATTATGAAAATGTTCGTCATCTCGAGTTTGTCAGTTTCATTTAAACAATTTTCTGTCAAGGTCTCAAGTTCAGCTTTCTTGAAATTTCCCGAACAATCATCGATTTTACAACTTTCTCCGCGTTGTCCTCCAGGAGACCGACCCGCTGGGCGCGCTGCAGCTGGCGGGCTACGCGGCCTCGCGCTGCCCGGACGCCGGCCCTCCCGCCGGGGCCGGGGGTGCGAGTGCCACCCGCCCGCACTGCTTCCGCCTCAGCCGCCACCGCGGCCCCACCGTCACCTTCGCCGCGGACAACGAGGAGGCCGCCATGCGGTGGCTCGCCGTGCTCGGCCACGCCATCGAGAGGAACAACCACGTGAGTGCCGGCAGTACAGTACAACCAGAAAGAACGTCCGTCATTCTCCGTCATGAACCTGGACTATGCAAGCTCTCATAGCGCCTGATACGTATGCCACATCTTGCCTGCAGTGCATGCGAGTACTGTGTGGTGGCCTACCCCGAGCCTCGCAGGCGCTAAGCTCTCGTAATTTGCCGAATGAATCAGAGAAAATCTTTACGTACTTTCTGGACAATAACTTATGAAAAAACATTATTGTTGAAGTGTGTGTCATGTTAAATTATCCACTTTTCTTGGGAACTGTTTAAATAATCTCACCTCGTTGATGGTCCAGGCCGAACAGTGGCTGGAGGCCAGCCGCTACAACCTCCGCCTCGCGCCCTCCGCTGTACTGCATCCGGACTGCATCGGCTACCTGGAGTGGCTGGACAGGCGCTGGAGATCCTGGAGGAGGCGCTACTGCGTGTTGAAGGACGCCTGCATCTTCTACTACCGTAGTGGTGGCGCCGACTCAGCCCTAGGTGAGCTGGAGAACGAAACCTGAATGTGGCTTGTCTGATTACAAAGTGCGGAATTTTTATTTGGACCTACTAGTAGAAATGCGTTGGGGGATCTTCACTTGAGTATTTAACCAGCTCGTCCAGTAGTCTTACCCTATGTACTGCCACAGGTATGGCGTGCCTCCACGGCTATCGGCTGCTGTCCACCACCATCGCCGGCCGGAGACACGTGTTTGAAATGATCCCGCCACTCGTCCACCAGCGCCACTTCTTCTTTAGTACGGAAACGGAAATGGATAAAAAGCGGTAGGTATATTGCAGACTGAATAATAGCTGTTCGTACCTCTTTTCTCGGCCTCCTTCCTGCATTTTGTCATGTTTTTCATTTTCCTTGGCAGGTGGATGTCAGCCATGGAGTACTCAATCCTCCGGTGGGTAAAAGTGGCGTGATGGGTTCGGTGAAGCCGTCACTGTTCTTCCCTCTTGTAATCACGGAGCGAACACTTTGCCAAAAATTGAAGAGATGCTCCCCCAATCATCGTTTCTTCCATTCTCCTTATATGTACATTTGTTTTAACCCCCCACAACATTTGTTTCTTATTAGAATGTCGACTGCTACTTTGACAAGATTTTTCACTTTGTAGTAGATTAAAAGGCAACTAACAAATTGATTCGCCATATCGACCGAGCGAGAGTCTGATTTACATTAAGCATGGATTCCTATATTGGGTGTAAAGCCTTTAGACTGTAAGCAAATTCTTATGACTTTTTTAAAAAGTTTGAGAAGTATTGCATCATCCATGGGTATTGTATTGAAATCAGATGCCATTATGCGTGATGTGGGATGCCAAACCCCTACTGGTAATGGCAGAAACGCACCAAATTTATCATCAAGTTTGAATTTGTTTTCTACTGAATCTTATTTCATTAGATAGCCATGACATAAAAATAAATGTAAGAATTAAAAATAGGGGCCAATATTGCATATACCAAGCTTGGAAGGCTCCTCCTAGGAAATTGTACCCTTCAAAACAAGGCAAGATGCCAGTATGCATATTCCAGGAAATAATGACTGCCTTCGTGAGGTGACCAAGAAACTTAGAACACACCTAACGGTAATAATATTACAATTCCAAAAGGCACTAAGAAGCTCCTAACTGAAACACATTTCTCATCTCAGATAACTGTTCATTTATTTTTAAGACCCGTCCTAGCCCGTCCGAAGCAAAGTCATGTATGTGTGTATGAATTGAAGAAAATAACAAATGATGGCCAAAAATGTAGGCTTAGAAAAAGAGTTTTAATGTCTAGATTCAGTTGATTAGAACAAATTTTCTTACCCTAAAACTCATTTTCAAAATTCCTAATATGAGAACAGAAATCAACAAAGTATCTCATTGCTGGGTCATTATGGTTTGTGTGTATAGGAAGAGACCTGCTACATATATTCTTAATCTGTTTGTAGAAGTGATCTTTGCCTTGAGACTAGTCAAATTGAGTCTGCTGTGGTAATCTACACAGTAAAACAATATCAAACATCAAGCGTTAAAATTATACAGCTACAGTCAAAATTTTGTATGTTTTGTTTTAAACTCCATTTAACTGAATGTAATGATGAGTAATTAATGTTGTCACATCTGTCTTAATTTTTCTGTGACAATATAAGTGAATTTAAAATTACCAGTTGAGAAAATATGTATTTATAGTATTTATAGAATAAGGTTGTCTCTCACATGAGGTGCTGCATGGTCACGCTGGTCTCGTGATTAATATAAGCCTGGCTTGATTTAGCTATACTGATTCTGTATGGCGGTTACTTATCATGTACATATTCATTTTCTGATGGTTTCTCTCCCAATTCAATACCAATGGAGGCCTTATATCAATGAATTGAAAATTATTTTGTGTCCACTCTCCATATATGTGGCTACAACATTTGTGTTCTTAAAAACATCATTAAGCCCTCACTGTTCGTCATTAAAATAGAATACAGCAAACTTTATTAATATCTTTTTAAATTAAAAGCGTTACTGTGAAATGGAAAATGTCAAACATCTTATTGTTTTAATGGTATTTTACTGTGCACTCAGGCATATTGAGAGCAGAGATGAATATAAACATATTATAATTTTAAATTTGAATCATACACAACTTCTTCTGTAAATAAATGTTGTTCATGTTTAAAATATTTATTTACTTTTTGTTAATGTGTAAGAAGTGAATATTAGATCTTATACAAACCAACAGAACTGTAGGAATGCACCTAAAACTGTAACAAGAACTGCCATATTTACTTTACTTTGACTGCCTTAAATATTTTCGGTCTTGATGATTCGATTTGTGCTCAATATTTTATCATCTTTGAGAGGACAATTAGTCACAGCCTTCAAAAGGCAAAGGATCACTCATTCAGAGACTGAATTTTGTTCTTCTATGTTTACAGTGTGTCAGCTCAAATATTCAAGCTATAACCGTTCTGTTCAGATATACAAGGTTACACTACCACCCCTTTGTAACAAATCAGATAAATTAATAAACGTTACGACAGAAATACACCTATACCTGTCTTATGTTAATTATGTTTTCATTTGTCACTGTAGTAAGGAGCGAGAAGAGGTAGCAATTGACAGTGAAAAATGGGTTTAAACTGCCAAATGCTAGGTCACATTTAAAAACAGTTTCCGGAAGAAAAAAAATACGCTCTATGTCCTCAGCGCCAGCAAAGAACCACCTTAACAAAAAGGTTCCAGTTCAATTTTAAAAATTAAAACAGAAACAAATTGTAATGAACTCATGATTATTGCATGTCAAAAATTGGCACTGTCAAAAGTGCCTAGGAGCTGGTGAAAGGAGCGCGTGGGCAGTGGTGAGGTTGGACAAAAATAAAAAATAAAATTGGGGGAAAACTTTTCTTATTTTTTATTTTTTTTTAACACGCAACCACTAATTGAGGCAATATTGCAACGATGAACAACTACGTGATCGCGTGAAAAAAAAATCTGGTTACAATCCTTTCATTAGGTACAAACGGGGACGTGCCTGCGGCGCGTCGGGTAGACTCGCCCGCCAAGTATCTGTGTGGAGGTGGTGGCCTACACTCAGCGCCTGAGCGGCGATACCCCCTGCTAGGCTCTCGCCACCTGTGGAAGCATACCCTGCAACGAGGCTACCACAGGTGCAACGCTGTTGTTGGCGGAAAGAGTTCATTGGGCGCTTTTGGTTGTTTTTGACTTCGCCGAGGTAAGAAAGTGCTGTAGTTATTTTCTTTTTGTTCTAGTTCGTCTTCTTAAATTATAGATTTGTCAATACAGTGTCATAGAGACACCTCTGTCCATCCGTGGATGCTGAAGAATGGAAACATGTTTAGTCTCATTCACAAACTTATTTACATAACCTCATGCACCAAACTTTTTTGACATTTCTCTAAGGCAAATTTAAATGCATGTCTATATTGTCTGTTTCACTTTATTTCAGTTACTGTAGGTGTTATGTGTTCTGAGATAAAAGTACAAAGGGTTGAGAAAGCACAGAGCACAGAGGGTTACTCACCGCACTGAGAACAGTACTCGGTCTTCCTACCACCAAGAAGGTTAAGTGGGTTAGTAAAGAACGAGTAATGAAAGCCTCTAATGGCTTAAATAAATGAAAAATTGATTGATTATTTTTCATAAAGTTGGTGCATCGAATGTAACTAAGGCCGTCGTAAATAATTGTTGCCATCCTCATTCCGTCACCCTCACAGCCCTAGTTCATTACTCTCCTCGTGAAAGAGATGCAGAGGTACGGAGGCAATTAATTACTTAATAAAGCAATGTGAGGATGTTTTTAAGATAGGAAAGAGTGTCAGTTTGCTCATTTTCTATACTTAGGGAATAACTGATCTCAGATACATTCCCCTAAATTTTTAAGTTTTTTAAGTGGGATTCTATTTTTTTGCTCAAGTTTTTAGCGGAAATAAATTTTGAAGCCTCGAGATCCTCAATGTCTTTAACCTTTCTGCTGCACTTATGATTGCAGAAGGGAATGGAGGACAGCATAAAGCAGGACTGAAAGAAACAAGGGCTTCCAATTTTTCTACGTTCTATTTATTTTCATGAAATCTTACAATTAATAATCATGACGAGTTTAGTATTATAAACATTTGATGTTGAGTTGACATTGTTTGTCCTAGGCAATGCTTTTGAATAAGCATGGCAAGTTAATGTTATGCAGCTCCCTAAAACTGTAGAGTCCAGAGGGAGTTGGTACCATGATAAATGTTGACGAAAATTCTGTTTTTACTCTTTGTTTGCAGGAAGACCGTCCATTAGTTGCATCTGCGCTTGACATCAGCTATGCAGATGTCACCCAATGTATGCTGAGTCGGTGTCACAGCACACAGCATGAGAAATGGACGCTTTTTCTCATGATCACAGGAATGAATCTGGTAAGTTTTGACTTTTTATGTAATGTCAACAAAAAAATATCAATATATTATAGTAGAGTCATGTTGGATGAAAGTTTATTTTGGTATTTGTTTCTTTTGGGGGGTTACATCTTTACTGTCTCTATGCTACCTCCACATACACCGCTCACTACTTGATCCTAAAATATGTAGTCGTGTGTTGATTTTAGTGGAGGGAAGTGAGAGAGGCAAATCATCAGAGTTTCAGTTGTAGTAATGCTGCTATTTATTTCATTTGTATGGTACAGTCGTAGTAAAATAGGAAGTGATGCTGCTTCTTATCCAAAGGGATGTGCCTGGACTTGATGCTAACCACCTGTAACATAGAAAGTTCATCCGATGAGTTGGCGTCACAGTGATACAGATGGACCAGAACATGTTTGAGTTGAACTCTGAGATAATTTGAATTTAACTTAGATTTTTTCCATTCTTTTTCAGGTATTTAGATTCGCCCAAAGTCACCAGCAGAAACAAGCCAGCTAA